TGTATCCGTGCCATGTCGTGATAAAAAACACAGTGAATATACCTTTTCACTTTTTGAAGTACACATAACACATAACACTGGGATTTAAATCCGAGGTTTTCGCATTTATTTTGTTTTGTTAATTGCTGTGCATTTTTCAGAAAACATTGATATATCTCAAATAGACTCGCTCTGTTGATCATAAATAGAATTTAGATAAACCATGCGCAATAGAAAAAGAAACTGTTCAACTTATCGAATCACTTACCCATTCGATAATATTGCACGATGTAGATTGAAGAGTTCAACTTGAGTGAACATTATTTAATTGACATTATAAGTATATTAATCTAGGATTGTTTATACAATCATTAAATGAAAACAGTTACAAAGAATATTAAGAATGAATAAGACATGATATTACCCGAGAGAAAAAGGCAAGAACTAGAAACAAACAAACAAAAAAAAAAAAAAAGGCTTGGACGGATTTTAACAAGTAAACACACGTATACATAACTACCTGAGAAACAATAAATGAAAAAAAAAAAGAAAAGAAGAATCTTTTTATTTATTAATTTTATTTGTTGGAATTTTTTTTTTCTACAATAATATTGCCTTGTGCATCTTTGATTTTAATTTTTCCATTTGCATAACGTACTTCTTGTTCACCAGTATTAAATACTGTTAAAATAGAACCATTTGGAAATAATTTTCTTTTATATGTATCTGTATGAACTTCTTTTGTTTGATTTGGATGTTGAATAAATTTTTCTCCATTTATTTTAATTGATATAATTGTACCATCAGTTAAATAAATATTTTTTGTTTTATCAGGTAATATATGTTCTTGTCTTCCATCCGGTAAATGTTTTTCAATTTGTCCATTTGGAAATTCATATATACGTGTACCATCGGAATATTCAGTTTCAGTTGTATTTGTATTTGCATATTTATATATACAACGACCATCAGATAATTTTTCTTTATAATCACCATTATAAAATTGAACACGTATTTGTTTACCATCAGAACTTATTTCTTGTTTTGAACCATTTGGAAATAAAATTTGTTTAGATAAATCCGATTTAATACGTTCAATACGTCCATCATTATGACGAATTTCTTCAATTATTGAATTATTTATTGGTATAGATATATTTTCTTTAAATGCTAAATTTTTTATTGTTGATGGTATACTAATATGAGATGTTGGAATAATTGAATCATTATTATTTATTGATAATGATTGTCGTTTTATTGTTGATTGATCAAGTAATGATAATGTTTCTTGATGTCGTTGAAGAAGTGTTGTTGCTGATGATGATGTACGTGTAGCCATAGTTAATAATGATTTATAATCAAGAGTAGTTGGATGACTCGATTCATCATTGTCGATGAATGTTTTTGGATAATCAGAATTAGTAATAGCTGATATTGATCTGAATAGAGGAAAAAAAGAGTTGTTTTTTTTTCTTTTAATTTATGTGATTTGATTGACTGTAAAGAGGATAAGACGATGGAACGAATAAATCTGTTCTAACACGGTATATTGACAATGGTGTCCTGCAAACTAGATTGAGTATGTGGCACTCGACTCGAATATATATAAGATTTAGACGTTTCAAAATATTATTACTTTATTCAAAATGATAATCAATACAAAAGCATATGAATGAAAATCGGTTCAATCAAGATCGAGCAACTCATTGTATATGTGATAGTAGATTACAGAGGTGAAAAGCGATATTATCTTACTATGAGAATTCGTTGTTTTTCATGAAAGTTCACCTAAAAATGGTGAGGAACTATATGACGTACATATGGGAAGGAAAAACTGAACTCTAAAAAAAGGTCATTTGCAACAAGCAAACATATACTACTTATCAAAATCGATCGGGTTTTAAATTTTGTAGAATTTGAGATGATCTCTATTTTTTGTTGATGTTTATGAAAGAAACTTACGTTTGAAAATTGTACTATAACTATGAAAGTATCTGCTGGATATCGATTAACTTCGGTCCGAGTCCGGTTGTGAAAAATTATACTCGTGTAGGACACTAACCGGCAGTAGATTACCGATTGGAGAATACATCTCTGTATACCGCCGTAGTGTAGCGTTCAGAAAATAGCCAACTGCTTAGGTATCCCGTAAGACAAGACAAGATAGGACTGTTTTGTGTCATGATCATCTCTAAACTATATAACATATGATTACTTATGGCTAACAAGATGATCAAGTCTTTTTTTTCGTTCTATTGCATTGTCATAGAGACAAAATTAAGTGTTCAATAGATATTAAAAATAGTAGATCATTTTTTTCTTTTAAGGACCCCCCATACCTCAAAAATCTATTTTTTTCCCAGAACACTCAATCTTACTGGAATTTTTAATGAATATGTACTTGATCTTTGATAGTTCTCAGTAAAAATTTGAGCCCATAATATTAAGTTTTTCCCGAGTTATCGTAACATCAANTGAAAAGTTCACTTTTTGGCCGCTGCTTAGTATTTTCAAGATTTCTCAGTCAAAACTTGATCAAAATTCGATTTCAAGTAGATATTCGGAATCTACTCCTCGAGCTCTATCCAATGATGTACTTTTCAAAAATATCTAATCATGCGTGAACTTTTCGAATTCCCCGCACCTTAAATATAATAAATTTTCATCGTTTTTATTATAGCCCATGATCGTTACTAGTACTGATGGTTATATCCTAAGTGTTTTTGGTCCCTTCCTTACTGATGCAATAAATAATGATGCATCCATCATCAAACATTGTCTATTTGAAAACAAGGGAGGAATGCTGAATTGGGCACTTGATGATGATGTAATGATACTTGACAGAGGATTTCGTAATGCCATCAACTCCATGAAGATGATCGGTTTGCAAGCTGCAATGCCAGATTTCCTAACAGGAGGAAATAAACAATTTGATGCTGCCCAAGCCAATCGTACCAGCTGCATTACGAAAGTGAGATGGGTAGTTGCAAGCAGTAAGAATCTTTTATTTCTGCCTGTGATTACTATGAATACTTTATTCGTAATACTAGTTAATGAAAAAATCAAACAATGACGATTTTTAGCACAAACAATTCAATTATCTACAATAAAGTTTCTTCCAGATTACGTCAGTATTGTGTGTGCACTAAGTAAGTGATATCTTTAAATATCGCGAACCCAATAATATTTTTCTTAGTAAACAAATATCGATCTCTTCCTGTGAAAGATATCTCGGTGGGAAAAGAGATGGCGAAATAAATGCTGAAGCTATTGCATTCCGAAAATGCCTTTCAACACTACGTTGAGGATCTTGAATATAATAAACGCATTAGCCGGAAAAAGTACGACGCACAGCACTGTTCATTTCCTACACTAACAGAACAAGACGTTCGTAACATTACTTTTGGTAAGCAGACATTGTTCTTACTACATGGATAAGTTTTCTTTTCTTCTAAGGAGTGTTTCAGGTGAAGATCGCAAAAAGCTATATAATGGAACATGTAAAAGGATCAATTTTGGATGACCATGAACTCATATTTGAAGTACAATGTGACAATCGTTATCCGAATCTCATGCGAGTACAGTTCCAGTCCAGATATTCAAAATCTGTTAAGCACAATGCTACTGTACACTTCAACTCTCTTGGAGAACAGCCAATCCAGACGTGGTGCTGTTCATGTCTCACAGGTCCACGTTAACTCGGTTGCTGTTCTCATGTCATTGCCCTTCTTTGGCACTTCGGTGTCAATTAGGGACGCGTACCTGAGTCGCATTCTCTATCGGCCAATCATCTGCTCGAATATATTGAAGACAGTACTGTTTATACCAAGGTCGATGAATCTGAAGATGACGACAATGATGTTCTGTATACAGCACATAGTGCCACTCAAATATAGTAAAAAATAAATAAAATTATTGCTCCTCACATTTCTTTCTATTGTACATTCTTTCTTCAAGTAATCATTTCAGCACTCTTACGGAAACCAGCAAATCTATGCCTTAACGACAAAGAGCATCAGTGTAACAGAATCCATCAATGTAAAATATACTCGACTTGATCACTCCCTCAAGCACAGATATAAGACCTATCAATGAACTAGTAATCCTACAAAGTGCTTGCATTTCAATATAAACTATTCCCAAAAATCGACAATTCTTCTTTGTACTTCAGATTACAATAATTCAAAAATAAAATTTTCCTAACTGAACTCTCAGTTCTACAGAAAACATTTATCTTCATATGTGCACTTGTTAGATTTCTCAGAATGCCCAACCACTTTCTCTTTTCTCGCATACGGTCATATTCCGTAGAGCTCTTCAAGCTCTATCGAATGGCATATTAACAAAAGTGTTTTAAATGAACAATAAGTGAACACGATTTAGCCAGATCATGGATGGACAGGGTTTTACACCTATCATAGGCACTTTCTAGTTTCTTGCGCACTCGTGCCCGGATTCAACTTTATCACTTCACTTCTCATTTTGTAGAGCTTTTCAAGTTCTATCGATTGGTATATTAACAAAAGTGTTTTAAATGAACAATAAGAGAAGACGATTCGTCAAAACATGGATGAGCATCGCTTTTTATCGATTATAGACCGTTTAAAGGAAAAAGCGGTCTCTGGAAAAGTTACGTTTGTCTGTGATACTTTTAGTATGCTTATGGGAGCATGTGCAATTTAAAGTCCTCTTTCTCACAATATGGATAGGAGGTCAAAAATCTATTCGACGATAGCAATTGCAGTCATTTTATTATTCTTTGGCGGAACCTGGATAGAAGACTATTGATAAGAGTTATTTAGTGACCTATTCTGCTGAAGGACTCAATCTATTTCACTTCGAATTGTCTTTAAATGATTGGGCGCATTTTTTTACCTAGGTTTGGCTACTTTTTAACTGAAATTTCAGAGTGAGCCGATTTGGCTTGTTATCCGCCCCCGTCCTTTATTCTTTAGAATTTTGAATTAATAAGCGGTGCAAAAGTCTTTAGAAAAATTTCGAGCCATACAGTTCAGCCATTTTCGAAGATAAAAACTAATTTTTTTTATTAGAAAGAACATAACAAATACTAGAAATATCTATATTTAATAGGACTGAATACAGTGAATTTCATCATATAGCTCAAAACTTCTTCCAAACATTCTCTATTATAGCTTGCAACATTTTTTTTATCAAGTTCTTAAACTTTTTGTTTGATGGTTCGAAGTAAATGATTTATATTTTTTTGCTTCCTAAAAATAAATGCTTGAATAGATTTGAAGACAATCTTTCTTTTTTGACATTGTTTAGCTTCTGGAAAAAGTGAAAGAAGAGGAACTCAATATGATGAAGGATCTTCAACAATTCAATATAAAGCAAATCCATATCCGATTGTTGAAGCACTTAATGATACTGAATTAAGAGAAGATATTAAACGAATTCAATTGATTATTGTTGCTTCACTTATTGATAAACAAGCAAATTAGGTGGTAAGTGTTATCATTGATTGTTCGTAATTTATTAAAATATTTGAAAAACAAAAAAGATATTTCAAAAGATTGTGTTTACAAGCAAAAAAAGTAGTTCCTACGTTGAGAAGAATGAAGAATACTTCATAGCATATAATTGATAATAAATAAGAAGAAATTTATATGAAATGGATGAAGGTTAACGGTCATAGTAATATAAGAAATAAATCATATATATATAGAAGAGAAATTAATAGATGTGTGAAGCTTGCTGAATTTATTAATCTTAATAATGATAGTGAAAGTAAGACAAATCGTATATCGATTTAAGTTTTTTATTAAGCTTTTGACTGGATGAGTCATGTCTAAACTATCGAAAGCATTATCCATATAAAGATTACCAAATATGTCTTCAGGATACTTCTCTTGAAAATAAACTAGAGTGATGATTTTCTAATTGAAGTTGATTGTCTACATAAATATATTACTGGAAAAGAAGAGAAAACAAACAACAGGAGATTTACTATTTGTTCATGAACGAATTTTCCTCTTGTGATGACGACAACAAAGTGTAACCAAATGCATATGATTAAGTTCATCATCATCATGTAGAAGAGTTATATGATAATGATTAGATGGTTGAGATTTTGAATGAGATATATTCCTTGAATGACTTTGTCGAACAATATTTAATCTAATTTATAAAGAATCCATGTTGCAAGAGAACGGCAAAGAAATACGAAATCTCACTCTTTTCGACAATGAAGTATACGAATTGATAGTTGTTGATGATGATAATGATGATCTTGATGAAAGTGATATTGAGCAAAGAGTAGAATGTTTGTTTTGAATGAAAGACAATGCAAAATTGTCTTGATAGATGAAGATGATTGAGATGAAGTAAAAGAGAGAATTGATGTTTCGACAAGAAGAAGACACTAGAATATCAATAGGTATAAAAACTCAGTGGAAAATACAAAAATGAAATCTACGGAATTGCAACAACAACAACAAGTTGAGAATGGCATCATCATCAAAAAGGTAGTCGGAAGAATGTGTTATGATACAGAAAATGAGTTGAATCTTCTACTTATCAAGAAAGAGAAGCTTGTTCACTTCAAAAAATGCCAAAGTAGATATAATGAAAGAATATTTCTGTGAAGTCAGATTAGTTGGTTTTTTACTTTTCGATGGAACTAAATCAAATATATTCTTTTCTCGTTGAATTATAACTATATTCATTGATTGTCAATAATGTATTCATATGAAAAGATATTGAAAGGTTTGATATGAATGAGGAGAAATTATCAATTTTGAAGTATTTTTACATATAGAATTACTTCTTGTTCATATTCGAATATATTCTCAGTCTCGAGCTAATATAGAAAACACATACAATATTTGATATGTGACTGTAAAGAGAAAATAGGTGGATGATGGAGAAATATGAATGAATGATATCGGTGTGAAATTTTCTCATCAACATAGTGACAAGACTCATATTCAAAATATGAAGAGAGTAACTAATTGACTCAAACTAGAGAATCGTAAACAAATATGAAAGACCACTGCATTTAGTCAATATCAGTAGCCATCCATACTAAATGAGAACATCATCGAGAAAAGATTGTAGTTAATTGATATGCATGAAAAAGATACGCAAGTGAATACTTATAAATCTCTTTCTCAGAAAAAATCAATTATTTTTCGATGATATAGCAAAACCATGTTCGACCATTCGTCATTAATAGAAGTATCTTTCTTTCTCATTCTCATGTCATACACTGATTGAAATAAAAAAGAACGTTTATATTTTTACCACATCTTTATCTAGGTGCATCAATAATAACAACAATAAAAAAAGAAAAAAACAAGAAACAGACGAGTGTCTTCAATGACAATATCATCATTGATTCTTCTTCATTTTTTTCATCACGTTAGTCACCATTTCCTGTAATTCCCGCAATTGTTTTTTCGCCATTTGTGCTCTGTCTTCTGCCATTCGTGCTCTGTCTTCTGCCATTCGTGCTCTGTCTTCTGCCATTCGTGCTCTGTCTTCTGCCATTCGTGCTCTGTCTTCATCTTCCATTGCCTTAAGCACCATCTTTTCTTTTGATATTCTTAATTCCACCATTTCCAATTCCAGAAAGTTTATTTTTTGTTCCAATTGTTCATATGATGGTCGTGTCGTAGCTGTCTACAATAGTAAAGATATAAGTTGTTAGCGAGAAAATGGAAAAGCCAGTAACTTCTAGATTATTAGTTATACCGGTGGAGAATTGCTATTGATTTCTCTACACATTTTGATACTATGTCGAAGAGTTTAATTGGTATGAAATTGATAAAGAAGAAATGCTCACAATGTAGAAAAAACGACGTGAACGAAAGAGAGAGAAAAAGAGAGAAGACATCGGTCATCGAGCAAATATTTCTTTTTTTCTCTCTCTCTGTGAGTTAACACATTATTCTAACGAGAAATGTGCGGGGAAAAGGTCATCCAACAAACACAAACAATAATGCAAGGAGAAAAAACATGAAGTCGTCATTCAGAGAATATCTCATTCTAACCCAATTCATTTTATTCGTTTTCTCTAAGAGAAAGTCACAAAACGCTGTTATACATACCAAAAAATCGTCATTCTTTCGTGCTTTCATCATGTTGTAATCACTCTCGCGATCACCATATAGATATATAGGTGTTATTACCATCAGGTGTGGCTTTATCCAGATCACCAAGTAATTTACTACCATCTACGTCAATTGATTCCCCACCACCTTCACCAACTAATGCACCACGCGCACTACTAACCAATTTACTACCAGTCCAACTAACAAATTCACCATGAGCTGTAGCACTTGGCTTACCACCGGTTGATTTGCTACGAGTTCTATCAACTAATTGACTATCTTGTGATTCACGACGAGCTCGTGCTTCTGGTTCATCATCAGTTCCACCAATTACTTGATCACGAGCTGCACCAATTGACTCAGCATGAGTCATACTATGATCTTCCTATAATAAAAAGAAAGATAGGTGATTAGATAAATAATTCAAACTTACCATATGACAAGAGAAAGAATTGGGAGTGTCATAGATTTTATAGTATTTGTGTGGCTCTTCCTTCTTACTACTAGCCTTATCACTTATTTAAAATCAAGGCACGAATGAAAAAAATAAACATAAAATAAAAAGAAAAAATAGAAGTGTACATAAATATTTTATTAGAAGAAAAAATATATAGGAAAAGACTAAGAAAGATCAAATGAAATCTAAAAATAAAGATGTTTATAAAGGAGAATTCGTGCTCATATGGTATGACGATCAAAGAAGTAAAATGAATTTCTCGATGGAATATCTCTAGTCCGACCGTCCAAAAATGATCCCACAGAATAAAAATATGTTCTAAACACCATGGTGTCACAGAGACAAAGAAGAAAAAGAGAAGAAAAATGTTTTTATTCGTTGAATAAAAAAAAACGTAAATGTTGTGTGAAATAAGTATTTGGTCCAGGAAGAATTTTTTCCTAACATGGTTATTATTAAGTGTAATAACATTTGTCTTATTGATGTTACTTTCTTCATTAATATTTTATTATTTTTGTGTAAAAATAACTTCTGAAGAAGTAAAAACAAAAATCCACGAGAAATATTATTAGAAAGACTTACCAAGTTTAACATTTCCAAAAAATTGAATTGTATGATAAATGTCATCATCAACTTGATTGAGAATATAAACAATAACTTCGTATCCTTGCATTTTAAGATCATTTAAACGAGCTAAAATTGTTTGTAATACAGCAGCATCTGATTTTTCGATTGATGCGGAATTGAATTGAATACCATATTTCGACATAGCCTTCAAATAAAAAAAACTTATTCTTTTTTTTTTAAATCATCAAAGAAATCTAACCTGTGGAATTTTCTTGAATAAAATCTCTTGCTAAACGAATTTGTCAATCGTCAAGCTCACGTTGACTAACAAGAACAACTGTTTATGTTCGTATAGTTCTGGTTTCATTACAACAATTATTTAGTCATCATTTACTAATTTGTACACGTTCAATAACATCGTGTTAATCACCTTATGATGATTCATATTTAATTTCTGGTGATGATTAAATTCTTCCGGGTAATAATAACATTTCATTATTATCAACAATAATACCAAATCTTTCTGAATACGAATCATTATTAAATCGACGTTCATCAGTAACATGTCAAATCATTTCATAACGTTTACCAAGAACAGTAGCTTGATCAAATCCTGATGATAAACTACGACCATTACCTAAACAAAAAAAACCCACTTTACATGCAAAGCATAAACTAAATCAAACAATTTTATTCGAAAATATACATTCATCTATCGGTAAATTAAAAGAATACAAGCGTATACTAAGTGTAGATCGTCTGTCGAGTGAAATCAACGAATATATCTATTTTTCTAATCTATAAGGATATCCAAGATGGACGGACTAGTGAATAAATAGAAATACCCCGTATATAGAAGAGAAAAACAACGACGGACACCCTCGATTACTACAACGAATGATCTTCAAATAATATACATAGCATAGAAAAATCGGTCAAATAAAATCTAGTCGTCTAATAATGTACACTATGATGACTATCACTTCGCTCTCTCTTCGTTCTATTCATGTGTAGATAAGGAAAATATCCAATTGGCTAGATTGTCATCTAGGTCTAGATGTCTACTAATTTAAAGAAAAACAATAAAGAATAGATATTTGAATAGAATAAATTAATGGATGATCATACTGAATAATAATAATCTTTGAATATTAAAATAAAAACAAATGAAGTTTTATAGAAAATTTTCATTAGAATTTAAAATAGAATCTTTTTTTTTAATGTACAAAATTAGATCATAGAAATACACATATTCTATTTTAGAAGGTTTTCAGGAAGATATTGTTTTTTAATATTCACTTTTCGAAAAAGATTCTTGGATTTTTTTTTATAGACGTGATCATAAAAAAAAGAATGCAGCTCAAGTACAAGATATCAAAAATAAATAATAAAGAAATATATTTCATTTCATATCGAATAAATAATTATTTTTTTCACAATCTTCAATTGAAAATATTTCATAATGATTATCGATTGTCACATAAACACGATTGAATATGATTGTAGTAGAGCTGGACACAGGACAGGACGAAGCTAAAATTCTCGTCCTATCCTGCTGCCTGCTAGGACGAAGTAGGATGGCAGGATAGGACTGGACAGAAAAATTGTTCTGCGTCCATCACTGGATCGTAGTCCTATATTTATCAAACGTGAATTTATAGTTCTGCAAGCTGTATACATCATTGCTTTTGATTTATTCATTATTTTTCAAAATTTTTAAGCTTTGTTTTGTTTTGTTTTTTCGTGCAGTTGAAAGTTTGATCCAAAGAAAATAAATTCACCTTATTTATTTGATGCACTATCACTAGATCAATGGTTCCAAAGACACTGAAAATGGTACCGAGTTTTTCATTTTTACTAACCGGAACCGAACCGGCGGTTACAGGTATATGCTTTGAGTTAAAATACCTCATCATATTGCCTTGATAAATTAGACAATAATTCATTTATTTAATTGACATGACAAGTTTATTAATCTAAGATTGTTTATACAATCATTCAATGAGAAAAAAAGTTACAAAGAGTATTAAGATAAAATAAGATATGAAATTTCCCCAGAGAATAAAAAAGAAAAAGAAAAGAATTGGACGGATTTCAACAAGCAAAAATATAACTACCTGAGAAACAATGAACAAAAAGAATATTTTCTTTTATTTATTTATTATTTGTTGGATTTTTTTTCTCCATAATAATATAGCCATGTGCATTTTTGATTTTAATTTTTCCATTTGCATAACGTATTTCTTGTTCACCTGTATTAAATATTGTTGATATTGAACCATTTGGAAATAATTTTCTTTTATATGTATCTGTATGAACTTCTTTTGTTTGATTTGGATGTTGAATAAATTTTTCTCCATTTGGCTTTAATGATATTATTGTTCCATCAGTTAAATAAATATTTTTTGTTTTATCAAGTAATATATGTTCTTGTTTTCCATCAGGTAAATGTTTTTCAATTTGTCCATTTGAAAATTCATATATAGGTGTATCATCGGGATATTCGGTTTCCGTTGTATTTGTACTAGCATATTTATATATACAACGACCATCAGAAAATTTTTCTTTTTTCTTTATAATCACCATTATAGAATTGAACACGGATTTGTTTACCATCAGAACTTATATGTTGTTTTGAACCATTTGGAAATATAATTTGTTTTGATAGATCAGATTTAATACGTTCAATACGTCCATCATTATGACGAATTTCTTCAATAATTGGATCATTTGGTAATGCTGAAATATTTTCTTTAAATATGATTGTTTTTACTGATGGAATAGTAACATGAGATATAGGAAAAATTGAATCATGATTAGTTACTGTTAATGGTTGTCGTTTAGTTGTTGATTGATCAAGAAGTGATAATGTTTGTTGATGTCGTTTGAGAAGTGTAGTGGCTGATGTTGATGTACTTGTAGCCATAGTTAATAATGATTTATAATCGAGAGTAGTTGTAGGATCAGATTCATCATCGTTAGTCAAGGACTTTGGATAGTCAGAATTGACAAGAACTGATAAAGATCTAAGTAGAAGAATATATTTTTGAATTAGGAAGTTATTCGCATCTTTATGGGATAATCTTCAATCTTACAAATTCATTCCATTAGATTTGGTTCTCTGAAGAACTTTTGCAAATACTATTAAAATAAGATGTATTCATGAAAAATTCGTATTTTAAAAAAATAATCTCGCACTGAAAGGGGTAAAGGAAAATATCTCAAACCATTAATGATAAAGAGTATGAAACTGGAGATTGGAATTTTTTATCCATCAATCTCGCATTGATTTCCCCTCTCCATTTCACAGGCAAAAGTAGGAAGTCAATAGACATTGGAAAACTGTGACAAACTTCTTTCCTGACTTACGGTGATAAATGTTCATCATTTCTTCGGTCAAATCGACGAATATCTTCATTACTTCCTCCATTTCCTGAATCAGCTCTTTCGGAAGCAACAATTGGTTGTTCAATTATAGTTGGTATTGGTATTGATTCAATTGTTCTTATTAATTCATCCATTGATGTTGAACGTTTTGTTGTTGATAATGATGATAATTTTCTTGATGTATCAACATTATTTTTAATTCCATTAACACCAACAACTATTGTTGGTGTTCGTCGTCCATTAGATGTTATTTTTGGTTTTACAGATGGCTCAGAATTTCTTATTACCATTGTTTTTGGTAATGATTGAGTTTTTTGATATTATTGGTCCAATACTTTTTGGACGTGGTTTGGTTTGTTGAAGTTCTACAAGTGATTTTCTTGTTGTGGATAAGGATCATATATCTTCTTGTAATTGTTGTTGTTGTTTAGAAACTGTTTGTAATTGATGCATAAGATCAAGTCGTCTACGTTTGATAATTTCTTTTTCTTGTTTTAATTCAGCATTTTCATATTCTAATGTTTCAATACGTTCTTTTAAACGATTAATTGTTGTTGACCAACGTGTTTCACGTTATTATAAATCTTCTTGTAATGTTAAAACCTATGAAAAACAAATTTAAAAAAATGTTCGAGTTTTTTTTCTTTACTTGTTTTTTAATGTTTCAATTTCTTCTCGTTCGCGTTTATCTGGATGATCGCGTAACTGTTGTCGATGTTGTTCAAGTAAACGATTTTCATGTTTTAATTTTTTTATTTCTTCTCCTTTCATTTGATGAAATTCTTCCATTTTTTGTTTAGTTTTTTTCAAATTCATCACGATCTTGTTTTAATTTTTTTATAACTAAATTACGTTCATTACAAAGAGATTGTAATTTAGCATTTTCTTTTTCAAAAAGTTCGATTTGTTTTTCAAGTTCTTTAGCTTTTTCACGAACTAAACGACTATAATCTTGATTAGGTTCGGCCATAGCCCAGGCAGACAAAACTTTCGAAAAACGCGTTTAAACGCACAATCGGGAACCGCGACTGTGATCCATTCACGCTCATTAAAAAAACGCAAGAAACGACGTTTTTTCTACAAAATAGTCACTTTTCAAGCGTGGAAACGGTGGAAAACTTAAATTTCTAGTGTTAAAACGTTCTCTTTTTCTAGATTTAAAAAATGGCATGTTTAAATGCTCAGTTTTTTATGTTTTTGCCGTTTTCACGCTTGAAAAGTGACTATTTTGTAGAAAAAACGTCGCTTCTTGCGTTTTTTTAATGAGCGTGAATGGATCACAGTCGCGATTCCCGATTGTGCGTTTAAACGCGTTTTTTGAAAGTTTTGTCTGCTTGGGAGGTAGTGGAGGAGAAGGAGCAGGTGCTGGTGTCGGTGCTGTGTGTCGTAAACCTGGAAATGTATTGGGCATTAATGGGTGTGGGTGTGGATGTGGGTGTGGGTGTCGGTGTGGGTGTTGGTGTGGGTGTGGGTGTGGGTGTGGGTGGGGTGTGTGTGTGGGTGGGGTGTGGGTGTGGGTGTGGATGTGAGTGTGGGTGTGGCTGTTGATCTACACTCAGACATCCACACGCACCCACCCGACCCACACCCACACCCACACCCATACCCACACCCACCCACACCCACATCCACATCCACACCCACACTCACACCCACACCCACACCCACACCCACCCACACCCACACCCACCCATTCACGGATATAACTTTGCAACATTCCCATTAGTATTCAGAAGATTTAAGTTACAAAAGTATAGTTTGTAACAAAACCAAGAAACATATTCGGAAGCCACAGTTAAAACTCGGTCGATTGTTTCGAGCTACTCCTGTGAACCTCAAGCTCTTGACAAAAATAAACTGATCTGGAATCCTCTCAAGATGCTCGTCTAAGAACATTTGTAATCCGATCTTTTTAATAGTTCAATCTCGTTTGTCTTTTTTTTTCTATATTAAAGATGAGTACACTTCACTTTATAAACTTATATCGGTTTTGCTAAAACTCTCGCGAAACATCTAGTTCGTATCTGCAAGAACCTCTCTTAAATCGTGTTCCTCATCAACACATAAGGATATCCTGATGATCGTCACTTTGTCCTTATCTTGCTCGATGGAATTTAGACCGAGGGTGTGCGGTGTGTGGTGTGGGTTTGGGTGTATTCATTTATCAGCATCCATACCCACACCCAAGATAGACCAGATGTAACAGTGAACAGCTTTCAAATCAGAAAGTCATTTACGACATTGAGTGGTCCCATCGAGGATATGGCTGTACGGATGTGGGTATACGTGTGGATGTCGTTGTCTGTATGCGGGTGTACGTAGTATATTCGAAGTCTCACCCACATTCAGTCTCTAATCATAAACTATGTTTATAGTTTTTAGACGGAATGAATTTATTTTTAAAGATTACAATGTCTGGAGTATGATATTACAGATCACAATACAAATGAAACATATTCCTGTACGTTAGATTAGTTTTCAACTCGAAAACCATTTGTAATCGCTTGGCGGAGTAGGCGTTAGATGCTTGTAAAGATAAAGTTTCTTTTCACACGCGCTTTTTCAACTTCTCAAATGAAACTTATCGAAGAAATAAAAGGAATAGTGGTTTTGAATAATAACTTGCATTCCCGTAATATGTGTACCAATTATAGATGAAAATGTTGATATAAATTAAATTAAATCATTATTTCCATAAGAGCAGGCTATTTATATACAAGTAACCATTAATGACTTCAGTTTTATTGTAGTCAAGGTATTTGTCGTACGAGTAGTCTTTTTTTGATTGATTTGGCAAATATTCATTTAATTTTCTTCACTGTTTCATTGTTCCGTCTGTTCAAATATGAGTAGCATGATTGTTAGTGAATCAAGCTGATTTCTGAAGATATTAACTTGATTCGTCTTATTTAAAAAATGCTCATTATTGTCTACTGGTTTGTAAACATGTATTAATTCAGTATTGTATCCATCTCAAGCATCATTTTCTTTTGCAGGAAGCTTACTACGGTCAGTTTAAAGATTGTGATCCATGAAAAGTTTTAAGAAAATAAACATACAAGTCAAAAACATATATTCAAAGATACAGAAAAAATTGGTGAGCAATCAAACTGAAATCCACAATGCAGTAGACAAAAGCACGAGAAAAACACGAGATACATTAGAAACGACAGTTATAATAGAGAGAATGCACGTATAATAGCAATGTAAAAATATTTGGACAGAAAAATGGAAAATAGAAGGGATACTGGACACTATCGAAATGCTTGCATACCGATAAATATACTACAGATATTTTATTTCATAAAGCCTCATACGTTACAAATCTAGGAGTAGAGAAAATTTCTTTGTCGTGCGTTTTCTAAGTACATTAAACTAATGTTTCCATATAAATTCTAGATTTTTCAAAGGATAATTGTAAAAATTACTTCGAAGGTTTCAAATGGATATACTGCATGAACATGGGTCATATTTAAGAATAATCTCACATAAGCATGGCCTGACCATACAATATTTTAGGAAAAGTATGATACAGGTGAATATCGAAAGGCAAACTAAATTTATCATCATCATCATCATACTATATTATATATACGTGTGTTGTTAATCCATTACAGTTATCAAAATTTAAAAATGTCTCCCATACAGAATTTAGTTTGTTTTTGAATGTTCTAGAACTATAATGATGGTTTTATGAACATTTAATCGTAAAAAATATGAAATATTCCAAACAAAGTATGATAGAATGGACCGTTTAATTGATAAAATGTTTTTCATTGATCATTTTTGTTAGAAAACATTTTAAGTTCCTCTAAGATAAAGAAGATGCACCAAAAAAAACTGAGAATCTCTTATTAGTGCATCAACTGCAAATAGGTTTACTAAAATGGTCAACAAAAGAAAGGAACTTACTTCGTGTCGAACCGGTTCAAAATCTAATTAACGACGTGCTTTACGTAATCAGGATGAAATACCCATGGAAATGCTGAAGCCGAAATGCGTAACGAAGATTCAGATAAAGAACACTCCGGTTTTTCGGAGAGGCTATATTAGTTACAAATTTTTTTAGGGTGGGCTCGAAGAAGCCATCACACTTTCTTGAAAATTTTCCATGAAAGCTTTCTGAAGATTCTGTGGTACATAACGATAAACGCTATCAAAATCAGTAGGTTTTGCTATGAAAATGTTGACTGTAATCGTGAATTCTTGACTGTGTTCATGAGAGTGTTCGACTCAATCGCATTTGATAATTCATAAAAGCATGATCGTCAGTTGGCGCTTGGTTATCAAAAGGAAAATCATCTATTTCGAATGCGGTACGTTCCTTGCTATCGAAATTAATTCTGAATTCTATATAACCATTTCTTTCGAGATTTTTCTTCATCCCCTTCATAAATAAAGATACTTCATTGTCTTTTATGACTGTAATCAATGGCCACTGTTTAGAATCTGCCAACTGCTTTTTAGATTTCTCAATGGTATTTGGTTTTTAGAATTCAATGTTAGCTTAGGGCTTTTAAGTTGAGAACTGCTCGACTTTCGATCTGGTTCTACCATTAGTAAATCATCGGCTGTTTTAAGACAACAATTTCCAATCCAGTATTATGCTAATTGCGGCATTGAAAATTCTTAATGATTACCTTTATTATACAGGGATGAATATGGATGTTGTTCTTTTTCTCATCTACGCTCAACCTGCATCAAATAGAAATATAGCAATGATCTCATTAAGTATGTGGGCGGAATGCTTTCTCGTTTCTTTCAAAGCCTCTTAAGATTTTTAATCTCATAGAAACTTTTCTGGTGGTTATTAAAGTTAGAATTAGAATGTAGGACGTGCAAGGAAGCAGATCATATAGAATTAAAATATAGAACAGAAAAACTTTTTCTAGCATGAACTTTTCGGTTTTCAAGATCTTTAGTATAAGTCCTCTTATTTTTGAAAGAAGCTGATCAACGTCTTCAAAACAAAGAGCTCTATAATATTAAAAAGATCTCACAATTATTTTGATAACTTTTAGATTATATGTAGTGCACAAGACTTGGAGTTCCGGGGCTGTTCTACATCTATTTTGAGGATAATTTTTCTTTGAACTTAAAATCACCGTTTGTCCTGTCGTTGAACCTTCACAGAAAGTTTCAGTAAAATCCTTCCGATCATGGCAGTAAACAGTATCAAGATTAGCTGGCATTTTCAATGAAATATGATCTATAAAAGTTCTTCATTAAATTTGGATACGTTTAATTGATAAATTTATTGCTTAAGCGGATCACAACTTAGCGAACATCCATTAATCTGAAATTCTCTGAGTATACGTCAGTAATGGTTTCTTTCTGCCAAGATATATTTGGTACTACACATAAATTTGATTTTAAGTTGATTCTTGACTATAAAAAAAGAAGATTGTATGTTTCTATTAAAGTACGCCGGTTATCGAAATCGTATCTGACTTTTACATATCCATATGTGTTTGCTTATGTTTGCAGCACCTTACCAACTACTGAAAACCTTGTAAAAAGAAGAAGACTGTTGTCGATAACTCAGTAGTCAAAGTAAGAAAAAGCATGAACAACACCAAAACGTACCAAAATGTTAGAGTAGGTGCAGCAAACCATAAATAAATAATAAAAAACACAAAAAGTATCTTGAAGTACTTAGATGTACGAAGAGGCATAACGACGTACGAAGAATTAAGAAAAAATATCAGGAGTAGCAAGAAATCCCAAAATACCCAAAGAGGTATAAAGAAATAGAAGGAAGTTAAAAAAAGTATGATAAATATCAAGAAGTGCCAAAGAGTGGGAAAAAAATTGTAAAACTGTTGAAAAATAGTATAAAATTTGTACAAGCGCCATAAAGTGCGAAGAAGTGTAGGAAGCCACCGGATAATGGTGACGATGGTGGAATACCATCCGAACATGGTACAGAGTGCGGATAACCATCGGAAAACAGTAATGAGTACAGAAATCGTTTGGAAAAGAGCAGACACTATGGAGAGATGCTGAAAAACATTAAGAAGTGCAGAGCGACATCGACTAACAGCAGAAATAATGTAGTCGTACCAACGTAAGTTTATTCCTTGAGGTTTTCTTTGTGCTTGCAAAGGTCGACATGGTGAATTTCTATCAATCTCTTGAACTCCTTTTTCAAAATTATCAAAGATAGTTTTGTTTTTATTGTTTGACATCGTTTTAAGCTTTTTATCTGCAGAGAGTCTCGATATTTTGTTCGATCCTATCATTAATAAAGAAGCTGCTTCTTCAGGATAATGAGTTGTAATCCATCGTTCTGCGTTTAATATACTCTGACATCGTCGAGGATTATCTTCCATTATTTGGGCTCTCTCATTACGTAGACTACTAATAAACATATTAATTCCTTGATCGTTTAGTAATTTTTGAATAAGACAATAGCCGCAATCATTATTCTTACTTTCAATATCAATTATAGAACCATCTGCTGACATGAGCCGAAAGGATCCTATTCCACGTATTCCTCGTTCATCTTTCTCTCCTTTCGTATATACGACTATATTCATACCATTTATCTTATCTTCTTCTGTGGGTTGATAATTGGCGTCATCGACTAATTTTAAATTTAAACCATATTTATCAGAGAGTGCTATCAAATCAGAAAGATTTGCTGGTTTATCTTCTCTAATACTTGCAATATATTTTTTTGTTTCCTTGTCAATTATTTCATAACTAGTAGCTGCATTTCGTCCTTGTTGGTTAGAATAATAAATAATCTCAGATTGGCTATATGCAATCGTATAATCTCTAGCATTATACTGAATTTGTCTAGCTATGGTATTCAATATTTCTCCTCCTCTTTCTTGGTTTTCCAGATTTTGGCTATCTGAATTTTGTCTCTCGTCAACAATACAATAATCCTGTACTCTCTCGGAAACATATTTTGTTAATGCACCCATACAATAACTACTCCATGGTGAAATAAATTGCGATTCCATGATTCGAAATATTTGCTCCGTAATCATATCTGATACTGATTTCATTAATTTACTCAAGTCATCGAATTCTACATTATGTAATAAATTTAAAAATGTTACAACCTTTTCTTTATACATAGGAAATTCATTTATAGAAGTATGTCTTAATTTTTCAGAAAAATGTTCATCATCGAATACCTTTTTTGCATCTAATATTCCATGTCTCTCAAGAAGGCAAACAACTTCGCTAATGTGTTTTTTTTGGACTCCACAGTAGTGATTTAAAATGTGATCTATTGATAAAGTCTCTTGATCTATTTCTGAGAGCTTCTCTAGAAGTTTATCACGAACTCTCTCAATAATAAAAGTAATTTCATGCATTCCATTCAGTGTACCAAGTATTCTGAGAACCATGGTGGCTGGACTACCTATTCTATCAGCACTTGATAGAATACCTCTGCATAAAGAAGACCCAACGGAATCCGATTGTTCGCGCCAGAAGCTATGGCCCGGATTAATCACATCTGCTACTGTTTTGTTAATTGTTTTCTCAAGTTTTTTCTCTTTGTTCATTTTGTCCAAAGCATACATTTTACGCACTATTTTCAATAGGTTAGGTTCACGAAATATATCGCTAACTTTGCTTTGTATTGATGCTGAAACTTGTGGTTTCACCTGCTCCAATACGAAATGCGAAGAAATATCGGCGATTTTATTTAAACCTTCTCTTACTGTATTCTCGCCTATTTTTACTCCAACTTGTTTAATAGCTAAGGTTTTTAAATTTTTTCCAGTTGCAGCTAACACTTGGCCTACCGTTTTCCCGTTTGTTATTATTCTTACATCTGCTTGTTCAAGAACTTCTCTTTCTACCTCTGTTACCAAAGTCTGAATTCCTTTACTTGCATCTTTGATCGCAGATAATCCCATTGAAAAGGCTGAAATAATTAGACTTACTGCTTTTTGTTTTCCATAATCTGACCAAGTAAAATTCCTTGTATGGTAGGCTCGATAAGCAGTAAATAAATCTGCTGCTCCTTCAGTAATGGATGCCATTCCTATCGTAGCTCCAAATCCAGTGGTCGTAAGAATTACGCCTACTGTCATTTGGATAATAGCCAGACTAGTTACAGCAGCAATACTAAACCACGGGATAGGTTTCTTTTCGCTAATTTCAATTAGATACTCGATACCTCGCCCGGAAAATTCTGAAAGTTCTAAATCTGGTCTTAACTCATTCATGAATAATTCTCTTAGATTTTTTACTTTAGTTATTTGTATATTTTCTTGATCTATTGGAGCTATGCCTATAAGTTGTTTTACCTGGTTATTCTCTAAATTTTTAAATGTTAAAGCAAAATCGAGATTTTTCTTCCTTAGCTGCTCAATAAGAATTTTAGCTGTGTCTTTTTCTAATTTATCAAAATGAATATTTACTAATTCATCTTCGAATCCATTTAAAAGATTCTTCACGTTTACATCAATAAAACTAATATTAAATTTTGCATGTTGACAAATCTGAATGACATCAACTATTGCTTCTTTGTTTGCACCTCTCAGTCCAATAAGTAATGCCTCATTTGAAGTATTTTTGATTCTTTTTTCAGCTATCATTTTATTTACAAGTTCCTTGCTTTTTTCAAAATTTGCTTCTTCATTTCCAGATGAATACCATTCTATAACTTGTGTATTATTTACAGACTGTATAACTTTTAATAATTGTTCCTTTTTGTCGAATATTGCAAGGTTGATACTTTCTGAATTAATTCTCATCACTTTTTCAGAAACTTTTGACCCAGTTAAGTCAATAAATTCAACAGTCAATTTTGCGTGATTTATTACATTGTCTATAAGGACTTTAGCGATTTCGTTAGCAGATATGAGAGTCACATTAAAATGTATACGATTTATTTTGTTTTCATCTTGGTTCTGATTACTTTCTCTTTCATTTATGATTTGTGAATCTCTGGCATTTTGGTTTTCTTTCTCAATTATTTCTATTGCATCTCTTATTTGAATTTCTTTTTTTTCTTTTTTTACTACATTATCGTTAAGGATAATTTCCAGATTAACCTTATATGAATCCCAAAATAGAGAGTTCTGCAATAAATGACAATGAAAAAATGAACTATTATCTTTCAATAGCACCATAGCTTCCTCTTTTGTGGCTTCATGAATTTCAATATCAGGATTGATAAACTCTTTTATTATTTTTGAATTAATCTGGAGTATACTAATGCTAATATCTTGGTATTTCCTATTCAAAGTATATTTATTTAGAACACGTGATTCTGTACGAATTTGGGAATTAATTAGTTTACATTTCGATATTGCCTGATCGATAGTCTCAATAGCTTGATCTCGCATTCCACAGTCTTCTCTTGTAGTTAAATCATTAAATGTTACTTCATATTTTTTGTCTTCCGGTAAACTTTGAAGAGGTGCTAAAAACTCTTCTCGAATAAAACCATCTTTTGATGAAATCTGTGTATGAATATGATCATAGATTGTTGGATTACTATTTCGATCAAGTCGCCTATTATGAAGATGCCAT